TAAAGAATACAAGTGAGTTCCACATTTTAATTCTAAAGGAGCTGCACTGACAAGTTTTTATTCATATGAAATGTTGTTTGTGCTTATAAAATCTAACTTATTTTATAGAAAATTAAAAATAATGTTTCATGATAATAGATTAAATGTTGTAAGCAGATTTCTTGAATAATAAGATATTATCGTTGTAGAAATACTCTTCATCATGGTACAAAATTAATAATTGAATTATTGGAAAATGAATATCTTCTCTCTGGTATAAAAATTTTTTGTGATTGGCTTGCTGGAAATAAACGTCTCCTTCAAATGTTATTACCTGTATGTTTAATGAACTTTTGTTATTCATATATAGATATAAATCTAAATTTATTTGTCTTTTATTGATATAGATATCACCTGGTCTATGGTCAAAATTAGCTTTATTATTAAATTTTTTACCTCATGAACGTGATATTCTGAAAAGTGGTATGTTAAAATCTATATATTTGTTTTTAATCGTCATATTGATTTTAACTAGGTTTAATTCCTTCAAATTCATCGATTTATCCATTATTAAGTAAATTTGTTGAAACAAAAGCTTTTGTTTTTCCATCACCAATGCTTGATGAAGATATTCAATTACGTGCATTTCAATCTTTAAAAGTTGATCGAAATTATTTAAAATTAAATTTAAATCAATTATCATCATTAAATAAACTTGAATCTGTAAGAAGTAGAATAGATAGAGTTTAAAAAAGAAAGTTTTTTTATTGATTTCTTTTTAGACAATAATTCGTATTTGTTCTCTACGTCGTTTTGGTTATTATGCAACATCAATATTACCAAATTCTCAATTTAATTATGATAATGATAAATTATCTTTTATTGCTTCAAATTCATTTGAACAAGTAACATCAACAATAGATTCTTCATCAGATAAAACATCAGAGACAACTGTTGATGAAGAACGTAAATCACGTTTAATGCGTGATATGGCTGCACTTCGTTTACAAGCTGAAATAAGTCAATTAGAAAATAGTTTAAAAAATGAAGAATTTTCTTTACCACCTTATCTTGTTATTGATTCATCTGTTTTATGTACAAATCTTAATTTAATACAAAAATTAGTTCAGTCACAACGTTTTATTATTATTATTCCACTTGTTGGTTTGTTTTATTATTCAATAGAAATATTCAAAGTTTTTTTTCGTTTTATTTTTTTTTTGTAGTAATTGATGTTCTTGATGAATTAAAGAAAGAACAACGTGAAGCACGTGATGCTATTCGATGGCTTGAAAATCAATTTCGTCTTGGAAACAGGTATTTTGTGTAACTTACACAATCTTCTTTTTTTGATGAAAAATATAGTAAGTGTAAGTGTTTAAGTGGAAGTTTTTCGGTGACTCGCTCGTAGCAACGGAAGATAGGAGAAAAACTAAAAGTTATCGGATTGATGTCGAACTTAGTCAGGCTGAGAAATTTTGAATCAAATGTGCTTTACTAGCAACAAATCGTACTCCTTTCTCAGAGTTCCTTAGCAATCGAAAAGGGTACTAGACAGTATTAAAGTTAAGACTTGGAATGTTCTCAAGCATTTGAAAGCCATGACTGAAGCTTGAATGTTTGGAATACGTTTGTAAATATTTCAAGTGATACATCGACAGATGTGCCTGTCATAAGAGATAAATTAAACAACTATAAGAAAATAGGTTTCTCTGAATAATTCGACATTCATATCAGAAACTGAACAGACCTTTTGCTCACTTAAAGTATAAGTGTGTTGTAATCAAATGAAAATTTGATATTAGTTGTTACCATTTTTTCATATTTAATACGTTTCTTGAGTTTTACAAGTCCGACTTGCAGTCGTTCAGACAATATCTAATTTTCATATTGTTCTATTTTCAAATTTTGGATAGATTCAAAAAACTAATGAATTCTATCGTGTTGAGTTCTGAGCGAGATAGATGAGTAATTGTATTGAGGAAAATACATAAAAAATTATCAGTATTTGAATAGCTTGATGTCAACCTTCAGAAGGGTATGAATGAAGAGAAGATGAACGCCGACACAAAACAAAAAATCATGTTAAATATAAGCTTCTTGATAAAATACTAGAAAAACTAACTAATTTCGACTTTTCATTTGATAATAAGAGACTTATTTTTCACATGAGTAAGAGCGCTGTTCAATTTTTGATATGCAAGTCGACTTATTCACATAAAACTATTTTTCGTGTATTTCTTTAATTTGTTCTTAATATCAGGCTCATCTGTCGTGTCATTGTTCTCAATAGTACAGTTTCTAACTTTTGCACAGATCAAAATTTACATTATAGATCTCAAAAATGAGGGATAGTGTTGCATTGATTTGTCATAGTCGGCTAATGATTGACACAAAACATGTGAACTGATTAAGTCATAACTTTGGGAAATAATCAATATCAATGTTTATGAGTCTATCGAAATCTATAATAGTGTGTTGAGACTTGAGGTCATTATAATGAGTATAGGCAACAGGTTTATTTAACAGTTAAATCAATGATTAGAATAATAATGCATTTTAAGTATAAAAAAAAAGAAAAATTTCTTTTCAAAATGTAGGAGGGATCATGTCTCTAGTAATCGACAACTGTTTGAAAACTAGTCTTTTAGAGATTTCTTTTTTACTTAATTCATTTTCTATTAGTTTAATGTGGCTACAGAGCACATGTAAGTTCTACATTTTAGTCCAAAAAAGAGTTTCGATAACGATCTTTAGTAAAATTGATTTAAAATTATTTGTTTACTTAGATTTATTCGTACACAAGCCGTACATGAACGATTAACAAATCAAAATAAAAAAAAGAATAATAAAAATAAAGATTTCTATCGTTTTCAAGAAATTCTTGATTGTTGTCTTTATTTTACACAACAAAGTAATCTTGATAAACAAACAACGAATAATTCAATATCAACAGTCAATTTACTTTTTGCAAGATCATTAACAAATAAAGAGCAGCAAACAGTTGAAAAAGATGGTAAAGCCATTTTTTTGGTTCTTTCTTTTTAATAACGTCAACGAAAACTTTTTTTTCTTTCTTTTTCTCATAGGAGTAATTGTACAACATATTGATGATTTTCATCGCCGTTGGAAACAATCAACACCCGAAAAATAATTAATCGATGAAAAAAAAAAGATTTTTTTGTTGAATATATAAACTTGAAAAAATTTTTTTAAGAATAAACTCTTTAATATTGGTAATCCAGCTACTGCTATAATACTGGTCAAAAAAAAATAAGACCAATCTAATAGTTTCAACTGTTTTTCTACGATACGAAAAATTTAACTCAAATTTAAGCATTGGTTTGCATAGCAAATGAGGTTCTCTAAGAAATGTATTTCCTACTGAAATTTCCATTGTGGACTATGAAACGAATGTTTCTTGAAAACCAAACACTATAGTTGTCAGGTCCTGTTTCCTATTACGTCTTCGTAAGGAGTTATAAGTATCAAACGTAGCAAAAAATACTCTTTTTAGCAATACTACGATAAATTTCGCTTTGTGATGGTTATTACTTTTTGAGGGAAGATCGGAGGAAATGAGATCTGATAACTACCGTGTTTTGTTTTCCAGAAACCTTCTTCTAATAGTTCATTTATGAAACTGCGATATGAAATGTATTCGACAGAGAGCTTCATCGGCTATTCAAACTATTGTTTGAATTTGAGTTAAAAGTTTGGTATTATAAAGAATAATGAAAAATATGTTGATTTTATTTTTTGGATCAGTAGTGTAAATATTCAACGGATATAGTAAAATGCAACGTATTTTTTCTTAATAATCGTATACAAAAAATCTTATGCAAATAATAAGCATTTGAGAACTTTTTTTGCAAGTCTGTTTCTTTGATATATTTTGATTTGAAAATGATTACAATTCAGTTCGATTTATAGCTTAATAGATGTAATTTCGATCAATATATAGACATATGAACCAACTATTCAGATATTTTTTGTCCTTCTTGCTCGAAGAAAAACAAAATGTAAACAAATCAATTATATCATTTAGTGTAGAAATAGCATTTTGTTATAAATTAATGTCAATATGAATATGTTTCTTTTTTGTTAATCGAAATAAAGTAAAAATACATAACAATTAAAAAGAAAACATGGATCTCGATATGTAATTAATTATTCATCCTATATTAGAAAACCCAGGTGTTCTATTATATCCACGGGGATCGATGTTCCATAGGTTATATACTGTTAGTTTCTTGTTTCTTCTTTAGTTACTATTAGTCGAAAATATTTGTCAAAAAAAATGCGAAAGGTTGGAGTAATTGAAAAAGTTTTTCAAGATAAAAAAAGATGAAAAATGTTTTTAGCTTCAACCCTGCTTAATATTCAGTTTAGAATCATAAAAACTAGGCGTTTTTTTTTCGATTAAATATATGAATGAAACTTACAATTTCTGTATTAATTATGAAATTGATGGAGATTTCAGTATTATGTCAGGAATAATCATTCCTTCAAGAAACCTTCTATGTGTGATTAAGGAATATTTTATTACGCGTAGCCTTTTATGATAATGCTGGAATTTAGATGTTTGTCAATTGAAATAAGACGATCTAGTTCTAGGTAGTTTTATGTATCTTTCATTGAACGAAAATTTTAGATAGGATGGACTCTGGTGGTGGGATACAAAAAAAAACCGGGAAAGTATATTCGTATCTTCAAAACGGCTATCCGATGCCGATTGGAAAATTTCATTGAGTTTATCAAAGTATGACTCGACTTAGTCCGTAAATTTTGGACCCGATGAACTTTACGCGTCGGAATCGTTCATCTGGGATAGTTGAATAAAAAAACCATGTTAATTTTACAAAGTTCAAAATATTTCTACAATAATTCATATATTTTGATGAACACTTCAAAAAAAAAGACAAAATATGTACTTGAAATCTTTGTTAAGAGAACAATTATTAGTAAGAAAATATCGAGCGAAAAACTATACTAAAGTATGTAGTTAATTATTCATTGATTTAAGCCTGTCGACGTGGATAAAATGTTCTATAACATGATAAACAACATTGAATACAAGCCCAAACAATTGTTATAATAAGTAATGCGAATGTTGATTTATACAAGACAGGATGACAATAATTCGTAGACTTTGGCTGATCTTCAAATTCTACTCGGTCACGAATACTAAATACCCATACACAACCAAGAATAAACCAAATAAAAACAAAAATTGAAATAAGAAATGTTGCTAGCACATTTAAACATATACCACAACTGGCCAATATTGTTAATGTTGTTGAATCCGAAATGAAACATTTAAATGTACTAAAATGAAATATTAAAGTGAAAAATAATTTTTCTATGTTTTAATTTACATAGCAAGAAATAATGACAGTGCAACTAATGCTAAACCACATATACCAGCTACGATCATGTAAGTTGGAATACTTTCATCGATTGGACATTGTCCTTTGTAATGTAAGCCAATTCCTAATTGAATTATTGGAATAATAGACGCAAATAGTGTCGAACTAAAAATATGAGAGTTTACATTTTTATTAGATAAAAATTGGAATTACAAAAGAAAATAGGTCGTGCCAACTGTTCGACCAACTTCAGATACTGGCATATAAGACCTTGAAGTTGTTAGAGGTCTTAACGGAATAGTCTCGTTAGTTCCTTCTTTTGACATTGGATCCATTTGTGTATAATACAAAAAAATGAGAAAAATGATTATGATTAATATGTTAAATGCAAATACTTGTTTGTCTCGGTCTTTCTTTTAGGGCTTTTTTTTTCATACTCGTTGCACTTGATTATATACATTTGAATAGGCTTCAAGTAAAGCATATCGTTTTTCTTTTTTTCGGTCGCTTTCTCCTACGAATTATTCATGTCACTGTTCTGAATCTTTTAATCAAAGTAGAATACTTATTTAAAGAAACTAATGTAAAAAAAATATCAATATTAATAATTCATATAGAGAATACAATAGAAAACTGAATACAACTATGATTGCAATAGTCTTGCAAAATCTTTTTTTTTCTGATCTCTTATATTTTAAGAAAGTATGTTTCATATTTAATAAGAGACAACCATCTAAGAATTCTGATAAAATATTTTATCATTAACTATAGATTATGTATTTCATTGTGTATTCGTTATATGTTTAATTAATCAAATAAATGTTATGAAAATCATAATACATCGACAGTAAATAAATATGAGAACATTTTCAATCATTTACACATATATATGTATATTAGCATCTAATCTCACATTGAAGGGAAAACTCATATTAAAAATCGATCTAGTGTGTAGATCGATGTTGTATATGGATGCTAATCAATGAGGTTAATTGGAAATGATGACATTTTAATTAATAACGCGTAGCTCATAGATAAAATGACACTTTAATTATTTGATTTTGAAGAACCGAAACACTGTTCAAAGGTACAATTCTAAGGTCGTTTGGTAGAAAATTTTTCGATCTACAAAAATGTGGGCTTCGTTTTTTCAATAAGTTTTTCTTGTTGACGAAAAATTGGAAAAATTAACAACTGTTGCATTACCTAACTGCGATATTCTTCTAATATCTAACGATTTGTGTGAGCTTATGCTCATCAATTTCGATGCTATATGTAACGTATTTCACATCAATAGACAGCGAATTTTCTCTGCTATACTCCCTAGATCTTCTCAAGGTTCGTGTTTTCAAGTGTTAGCGTACTAAAGAAAATCTTTCGATTGATTCCAATCGCATAAAACTGTGTTTGAAACATCGTTCTTTTAAATCTTTCCTTTTTCTAAAACTGTGAAATGCCGTAAGATATAACATTTCGTCGCGTTTCTTACAGCATATTGCAAATTTCAGCGCAACTTGTATTTTAATACTTTTAATAATTGTTTTGTTTTCTGACAGTCACAGTTCAATAGCTCAGTAGATATCAATCTTTTCGATTTTTCTGAAATAGAATAAACTTATTTGGAGAACAAAATCAGCCGTTTTGTAGAGCGATAAATTCTCTTGTTTATGGGCTACCCATTACAATTATCATTTGATAAATCAAGTAAAAACTTCGAATGTCAATGAACAATTTTCTATTGAGACAGTTCTTATCTATAAAACTGTTCATAATTTTACAGATTCAAGCTTGTTTTATCCATTGATGATTGTATTAATTGGAATGTCACTACTCTGTCTAGTTCATCAATAAGAATTTAAACACAATACTAATTTATAGTCTAGTTCAACTTTCAACATCTGTTTCATCTACAATCCAAGATCAGACCTAATCTGACTTTCAACACTAACATGTTCATTGATTTACAAAGAAAATCTACCATACATAAAAACTTGATATACTAGAAAATGAAGAAATGCAATATCCAATATCCTATTAAACATGTAATCAAATTAATGGAAGATAAAAACATTTTTCATTCGATAATTATATTGAATCTACTTTTCTTGATCTCAAATCCATATACATAGACCAGAAATGAAATATTGAGATTAAATACGAACACCTACATGAATACATCAATATTTTAATCATCATGAATACAAATAAATAAAACAATGATAAATAGAAAATATTACAAACCCATTAGGTATTATCTGTAAAGGACATTCAGGTAAAAATTATATTTTTCATATCACTCCGCCCACTGTTCAGGTTTATCTAGTTTCATCGATCGAATTTCTCTCCTTCTATATGTTCCGTAGAACCCATCGGATTCAAAGTTTTCGGATTCGGACTCGACGAGCTCTATCATCCAGTATAAAAAAAAGAAAAATTCTACTTGTTCAAATATACTACTTTTTGATTAAATAAATATATCAAAAATCGAAATTCATAACAATACATGTTATAAACAACAAACAGAAATCTAACCTATTGCAACTTTTTTGCTTTTTAAATGCATTCTTTTTTAATGAGCAAAAAAAACAATCAAAAAAAAATGAAGTGTAATATCAATCGCACTCGAAAATCTCCTATAACTGCAACACAAAATAACAATTTGTTCATGTAGCATAATCTTGAATTATTTTAACACTGTATTCATGTGCGAGTGATTCATTCAGTTCATTTCCTATTTAAAAATACTCTTTCGAAAAAAAAAATAACCTCCAAAATGCCACTAAAAATTGTATGGAAAAAACCAAGGAAAATATTCATAGTAATTGTTTAGGTGTTCTTTCTGGATAATCCCATATCACTTTCTAATTACCGTTGTAATAAGCAAAACAAAAAAAGCAACCGAGATATTTTTATTATTTAAAAAAAAATTGTCAATTTATTTGTAACATTTTGCAAATCATTAAAAAAATCTTTTACTTTTGAAAACATTTTATAGAAAAAAAAATTTTTTTTGTTTTTTTGTCTTCTCTTCAACATTATAATAAATGTCATTTTTGTTGTTCTTAATAATTTCACTTTGATCATCTTGCACCTTTTGTTTCAGTTTGAAAACAACCACGTATGCAATGATATATACAGCAGACAACCGGCATAATCCAGGTTATAATCAGTATCGCAAATGCAAATTCATATAATGTACGATGACAATAATTGGTAAATGATAATGGATTATCATACTGAACATCTTTTTTTGCTCCAAATATCCATACATTACCCTATTTGAGATTATAAAATATTTTAATACAAGTAAATTAAGTAATAATGTAATAGAAATGCAAAATTAAAAGAGACATTGTTTTTCTTCAATTTTTGTATGGTTAGAAAGAGCATGACAAACTTATCAAGAATATGTGTGTTGATCATTTCTTTGGATAAACATTTGTCGAGAAAATTTTTAGTATTTTTCAAGTAATCCATTTTTTCTGAAAAATAGATCAATTTTTGAAATATAATATATAAGTAAATGAACGACTTAATATTGAAATATAAAACTTTTATTTTTAACAGCAGAGAAAATGTTTTGTAATTGACAATATCAGCCAAGACAGACTATCGAAAATGACAGAATTTACTTTTGCAGAAATACTGCAAAAGTAAATTCTGTATAGACTATCTTTATGATGGAACTAACTGATACTGTGCAATTACATCGGCACTATTACATAGTGATATATACACCACGACCATTGAATGTTTTTCGTTCTTCGTATAGTATACATATAGGCTGTTTATAACTAGCGAACTATTGTTTCTACTATACCATGACATCGTTATACATTCTTTTTTCTTTTTATCTTCCATCTATACGAGATAGATCAAAAGCAACATGCAAAAGTAAATTCTGTCATTTTCGATAGTCTTTCTTGGCTGATATTGTCAATTACAAAAAAAAAAATTTTCGCTGCTGTTAAAAATAAAAGTTTTATAGATCAATTTTTGATCACCGATAAATTTCAAATGAATGAGTTTCCTAGATTTAGTTTTTCATGCCTAAATCTCAAACAAACAATTTGGAAATTTGAACAAAATGAAAAATTGAAAATTTATCGACTACTGAAAATTGATGTATTTGTTACAAAAAAAAACTCAAAATTTTCGCATAAAAAAATCATTCCTAGGAAAATTGAAAACTCATATATTCTTGATCCACTCGACACGGTCTATCTAATTATATATAAAGTAAAGAAAAAAATTTCTACTTTAACTTTGTACTTCCGACACCTTACTTACCACAATAAACCAAGCAAATAAAAATAAGCTCATCAATAATATAAACAATCCTATAATAATCGTAAGACATAACATAGCAAATGTTACAGCAATAGAATTTCGTTTAATACACCATATAAATCCACCATTCTATTTGAATTAAACTCAATTCTTTAGGAGAAAAGAAAACGAAAAATCATATCTTACTATAACTAAGACAAGAACAATACTAGCCATTCCACATGCACCTGTTACAATAAGATATATTGGAATATTTGGATTCATCGGACATTGATCACGATATGATGCACCAATAGCTACTTCAAGTATTGGAATAATAAGTGTAACACCTAGCATAACAAAACAATGAATTGAACTAACTATTGCAAGTATAGGTTTTGGAATTGACTCTATTGGATCTTTGTTCTCAGTCGTTCCTCTTTCTGTATCAACCATGTTAGTAAATGATGAATTATGAACACTGAGTTGTTGTAAAGTAGAATATGACGTTTGGTGGTCTGTTAACAATTTTTTGCTTTTGTTGGTATACCGATGTAAAGTATTATGCTATGAAAACTTGGTATAAATGCTATGGTCGATAGAAAAAGAAAACAAGAAAAAAATTAATAAGACGTATTTCTAATCGTCAACTGATGCATGTAAAAAAAAAAAAATTTTAGTTGATTCTGTTGTTTTTATCGGTTCGTTGTTGTTGTCAAGTCTTACATTTTAATCAATGTAAATACCCTGGATGATGAATTTCTTTGGGATGATTCACTTGATGAAATTTATATTACTAATATTACTTTTCTTTCTTTCAATGTGTAAGCATAATTTTGGATGAAAATGATTTTTTTTCTGTTCGTAATTTATCAACAAAAATCTACGATGAATAATGCATCCATTTTGAAAAAACATAGATTTTTTCTCTTCGTTTCATGTTGCTTGAATAAAATTTTAAATTCTCATGAGAAATGTTACAAACATTTGCAGCGATGTCATACAGGAGAAACATTGATGAATAAGTTTATTTAACTGTTAAAAGTTTACCGATGTTTTATAAATATCATTCATCTTGCTGCTTTTTTAATAGCCTTTCAGCATAAAGTGTGAGCAAACAATACACTTTTGAATTGAATTAACAATGAATGAAAAATGTCATGAAGATCTCAAACATTCAAACAAATCAACTCACAAAAGCAACGAAAAAAAGATTTTTACTGGAGTAAATACTAGTTTAGACCAATTCGGAAGACATAATTAATTTCTTTTGTAATATTACAGAAAAACAAAGATTGTTTTGATTCGCTTACTATTGTTTTTTACTTACAGGCTATATGATTGATTAAAAAAAAGATTCAGTGTTTTATTCATTTTTCTTCATTTTTTTTTATTGATTCATATTACTACAAATAGTATAATTACAACTAACAGAAATTTATGGCTTCAGTAATACTTTTTACTATTGTGTCTTCAGCTTCTTCCGTATTGGTAAACATAATTTCTTTTATCAAATTTCATTATCTTCTTTTTTTAAACCTTTTCTTGTTTTCATTATTTACATTCAATTTGTATTTATCTTTTTGTTAGAAACATAAGCTATTATTGCAGTGATTTCCACCGTCGGTGCCATTTTTAAACTAAATTAAATCTGATATGGTTAACGGATGATTGATCAAACAGATCATTACACGTGTTTTATTTTGCAAACGATAACTATGTATATATATATTTGAACGAACTCAGAAAAAAACCAATCACACTTCCAAGAAAGCATTATAAGAGGGCAAAATACTTGAACAAATATCAAGAGAAAAGAACTTTTAGAACATGTCTTCCAAAAGAAGGAAATAAAACAGAAGAAGAAAAGATATATTTGTATATTATAGTATACAAAATTCTTTCGACTCATGATATCATTATGAATCAATCTGGAGAACCACTCTTCTATTTACATCAAAATATTTCAATCGAAAAAAAAAATAAAAATGACGAATGGTGCAAGTACTATTTATTTAATAAGCAAACTGAATTAGATACTGATACTTTAATTTTAACATTGAACAAGTTATTAATTTTCGGAGCACATATAATACTGATCGAATACTAAATTTAATACTAATAGTTTAATATACTTACTGATTGACTGTCATGACTGAGTGGCTATATCGTTCGACAAGCATCAAACGAGTATGGTGTTCAAACTAGAATCTTATGGGATAGTTCCAAATCCAGAAAAATCACATTTGTTTTGTCTCACAGAGCTATGGAGATCGTCTCGATTTTTTTCCGACGAGACAATCACAACTGGAACAATATAGAAAAAATCAATCCTCTCGAATTTTGTTTAATTCTTATGTCAAAACGTGTCATACTCTTTAAATGTTTTATTTCTAACAATTATCTTAATATTTAAATAAATCACAGAAAAGAACTAGACTGCCGTTCAAGCAAAACTAGAGTAGAAAAGGTGACTGACTGCACGAACCCGAAATAAGTCAGAATGCAATCCTAGAAGATATTTGCGGAAGTTATGAGATAATGAATCTTACCCAACCATAAGTATATCAGGAAACTTTCAGCTAGTAATTCTCGTTTTCGGCATTTTTTATAGCCTAAGCAAAAAGTGAAGTTTTTAAAAAACGAATTTAAGATATGTACTCATCTCACTCGCATGATCTTGACAATATTTTTCTCATTTTGAAACAATGATTAAGTGTGAAGAGCGACTGATTGACTTTAGTCATGATTCATCTATCGGAAAGAATAAGATCACTAGCACCAGCCATATAATGATGCAAGACAAGTCACTAACGGCTATTCGTCTCGAATTACCCGTTCGAGAATATGCTGACTAAGTTGTGACATACACTTGTCCTCGAGATATGGGTGTAGTTAGTCATTGTGTATGGAGAGTTCAAACGATGGAGTGAAAAAGCTGTGAGTCAAGCCAACCTTCTACCGAAAGGTAGCCGAGAGACCAGGATATTTTTCCTTCTTTTTTTCCTTTATTTACTAATAATTTGTATAATAACCTGAGTGTTTACAAAAAACTACTAAACATTAAATTCATCCTCTTAAACATAGAAAGCTATAGATAGTTGTGAAACAATTCATACCTCATTTTTCTTTTGAGTTTTTGTCAAAAAAGAACAAGTTGGAACGCTAAAAATTTAAATTAATTGATTATACTCAAAATAAACAGCAAGTGATAATTTATACTATTTTCATAACTTGTTCTTTTGATTTGTCTTTTGGCAAAAAAATCTTTAGTAAGTAACTCAAAGCAAGGATCATCTACATACATATATGTATATATTTTGAAATAATTAGTAATCGTTAGTAAGATCAAAAGTAGATGATTACTATTTGCAAATGCGATGACATCATCTACATTTTTCTAGTCAATAATAAATCTTCTTCAATCATATGTCATCCCTATTCGTTCATCATCTTTTACATTATTTGCTTTTGTATATGCAAGCAAACACTACCACGCAGTATTTCTTTCGATAATGAAACGAAAAAAAGAAGAAAAAGAATTGACACTTTCTTTTTTGATCCATTTCCAAAATCGAACAGTATTAAACCTATGATTGAACAACAATGTTTTCTTATATTCGTAAACCATCATTACCATCAATCTCTAGTATTAATACATCATTTTCATCAGATAATTTTTATATACCGACTATTACTACATCACAACCTACCATTTTACGTCAATTAGATGTATATGATTTTGATGGAATTCATTCAACAGATTTTATGCATGAATGTTGTATGCAACGAGAACCATTCCGTATTCCGAGACCAATACTTACTATACCACGTCCAACGATACATGTACCTATAAATAATACAATATGGACACCTTGTACAATACCTACAAGTGTACAACAATCTTCTACATCATCAAGTCCAACATCAATAACGTATCATTCTGAACGACCAATCTATCAAAATTTACCATTAGAACCATTAATTCCACCACCTCCACCAGTTCCTACTCTATATCAAATTGGTCCATCTCCTTTTCAACGAAAAGTACCTATTATTCAACCAATTAAACAAAAAAAATCTTCACGTGAAAAACCTCCAGGTTTATTTACAACTCTATCTGCTGGTGGTTTAAGTACTGTTGCAGTACTTATTTATCTAACTGCTCTTCTTGCATTGCCTATTATAAAACTTGTTTTAGGTATTCTTTATGTGCGAGAATGTCCTGTAAATAAGAATATTCCATTATATATGATAATTTCTGGTGTTTGTGGTTTAGTTATTGTTATTTTACTTGTTTTATCATCTGCTTGTACATACTGTCGATCTGTATCGAATGTAGAAAAGCCAACATATGGTTTTATAGTATGTACAATAGCATTAACACGTGGTATGCAAGGTACTTTAGCAATATTTCTTTTTATTTGGTTTTTATTTGGTAATATTTGGATACTTAATGCTCGATATCGTGTTCGAACAGATAAACCAAATGATATAAATAATTATTGTCATCCAACACTCTATTGGTTTGCATTTTATAGTTTAATTTTTACTTATGTTTATGCACTTTTTACTTGTTGTATTAAATTTTGTGTAAATTTTTTTTGTTGTGGTGCATGTGATGCATGGCATAAAGCATTTTCATAAGATGATACCTAATCGAAATGAAAAAGAATGAGTTTGAGACCCGAATGATTGTCCATTTTTTTTAATGATTTTATATGTATATAAGATATGAATAGAACAAATAAAATGATAAAAGCATCGATGAAAACTTAGTTAATTGTTTTGTCGTCCTTACAAAATATGCATATAAATAGAGAGAGAGAAAGTAAGATACAGTTCACTTGTCACGAAAACTATGGTGACGATAAATGCATACATATTGAACAGATGAGACAATGAAAAGAAAGATAAAACGAGATCGACACACACATATTTATTCGTATATGTGTACAGTAGATATGAGAAAAAAAGATGACCGACATTTATTGAAGTATTTAACGGATATAAAGCAATGTTCATTAAAATACAGACAGTGACGTCAAGATTCTATTTTTTAAATTACAAAGCGAATAATTGTTCGCCATATTCATTACCTTAAGTAAGAGACATATAGAGAGACTCATAAAAGCAAATTTCTGTTCTTTTATTTCTTTATCGTTGACTACTAATAATAATACAGTCTATCAATACTAGAAGCTGTTTTTCTTTGCTCTTGTTTATGATGAACTAGAGTTATTCTATTCAAGATGATTGATCGTATTATCTATATTCAATATGGTGAGTATTGAAAGAAAAAAATAGATATATTGAATACAACATATTTATCATAGATATGTAATGACAGATGAAAGCTAGTTTAGTACAAGGACCTTTTTTTTCGATAATAGAATTGGAGAATATGATATTGCTTCTGGCATAACTGTCCTTCGATTCTCTGAATCTCTTCTGTTCATAGGCTACATATCAGGACGGAAGGACATTACATATGGCAAACAGGAGATGATACTTGATATTGCTGTCATCGAGCAAACTACTTGTCACAATATTCATCATTTATTTGAGTTTATTCGATTTTTGTTATCCTTTCATTTTTTTTTCTTCCCTCTTTCTGCATATTTATGTATACCTTCATTGATTGCATTACATAAGCAGACTATGAATTATATAAATATATATGTGCTCTTCACTACATTTGAATGGATCTTATTATATATCCACTCGCACTTCTTTACAGGTAAAAGGGTATGTGTATATAGTAGTAGTAGTAGTAGATCTAAGAAATGAAAGAGATCTTTTTTTTTTTCTTCTTTCTTTTTTCTTATATGTATCCAGATGAACACTACATAGTACAGTTTATTCTACAAGATATAATCATGGTTTATTTGCTCATAGTTCTTTCAGAGATGTATGCCTTTTTCTTTTCTGTTGTTCATTGTCGCTTTTATTTATCCTTCGAAATATTGATCAGGATACAAACAGGTCAATAGTATAGTCGACCGATCGCCTCTCTTTCTTTTGCTTGATGAATCCATAACCAAACAATTTTTACTTATATAGATATATAAATACTTTTTATCTATTACTGTTTGTGTTTCTTTTGTTGTTCAATGATGAGAACGAGAGAAAGAAAAGAACAAAAAAAAAATGAGAAATATGGAGAGTCTTGCTCAATGTCGACGTCCCCTACACATCACCCTGTTATTCAACATTACTAAAAATAATTACATCACAATTATTGAACAGAGTGCAAGTCAGTTATATTGTTCCATACATATATATAGTCGAATAATCACGCGTGCTCTCTACACATATTATTCGAATTGTCATCGTTATCGTGCATTTGCTTGACATGTCAACTTGAGATGCATATGATTATCAATATATATATTGTCTAGACATAACGGTATATGTCGGTATTATCGAATAGGTATTGTGACTTGTTCATATTCATTTTAGATTGATTAATGAACTAATTCATTGATCAATGGAACAGTATTTGAATTTAGTTTTGAAAAATTATACAGCATCATTTTCTCAAAATTCGAATGAGAATTTATTTGACGAACATGATTGTAAGAATTCAACGTTATTTATTTATTTATTTATTTATTTTCATTGTTTCATATTTTCTTTTTTAAGCATCAGATATATTTACTGATAATGATTTACATTATAAAATTCCATTTTGGATTGGTGTAATTGTAATTAGTCTTCTTTTTTTATCAGTAATCATTGCAACAATACGTTATTGTTTTTATACATTATGTTCATCAGATATAGGTGAGTTCATTATAAACTATCAGAAATGGTTTTTTTTTTCTTTTCAAATTGTCATTGTTTTTGTTACGTCATAATCAAGAAGAAAAAAGAAGAAAATCTTAATATAAACAACTTCACCCTTTATTTGAAAAAGATGAATAAATACTTTTCTTTATGACTTTGTTTCTTTTGTACATTTTTTTCTTCATCATTCCAATGTACATATATATATACATATACAAAATTTTTTTGTATGCTTCTAAATTGACATTGAATCGGACCGTTAAAATGATATTCATATGTTTATAAACGAGAGTAAACAATGAATGTATACAAAAGCATCGGTTTACATTTATGAATAATAGTGCTAAAAGCATAATGTCAGATGAATTAGAGTGAACAAAAAAAAAAAGTAGAAGAGAATATTCCTTGCCTTTTTGTATTCAATATTGAGTTCTTGCGCTTGATACTTGAGTCCCTCATAAACAGCAACTAATCGCAAGAAAAAATATATGTCAAAATGTAGTCATCATGCTATCTAGCAAGTCATCCAAGACAATCAACTGTGCTAGTGATTTGAATGATAAGATGTTTATTCCATTTTGATCCGCATAAAAAGATTTCCGACAAGTCAAACTTTATCTAAGCTATTGTTCGAGAGCAATGGGGAACTTCTTGAAAGAACCAACAAGATTTTTTTTTACTTCATAAGTCCCTTTTTGAGCATGCTAAAAATTGTTAGAAATGATTATTTTGCACAGGGAATATTTATATAATATTGAAATAAACCGTAGTTTTTATCCAAGTGAGGTTACAAGTATTTTTTCAAGAGCTTCTTTCAATTTAAAACAATTGTTGATTTTTCAAAAGTGAGTATCTAAGGAACAGCAGTACATACGATCCAAAAATTGGCAATTCAAGAAATTCAACATATCGCATAACTTTGAATTATATCTGTTCAAAGTATCACGGAATTGTAGGAATTCAAGAAAATTTAAGAAGCCCAACATATACGTATATCTTTGAATTATATCCCCTGGAAGTATCATGGAATTCAAGGAAATCAAAGAATTCAAGCAATTCCATCGTAGTTTAGACTTGTAACTCACTATGTTATGTATCTTTGTTCCATTCCTTGAATTTCCTTGAATTGCGAATTTCTGGATTCTACGTATATCTCAAACATATTCTTTCAAAAGATTAAAATTTTTCTATTTTAATTTAGAAACAGAAAAAATGGCATTAATGCCACCCAAATCACCATGTCTCACCTCAAATATTCCTAATCGGATTCAACATAAAAAATGTCAACTAGTTGATCCAATTCCTCGTAATTCATTCGATCATAATGAAACATCATTATCATCTATTGAACAATCACGAGATGATCACTCAAATATATCTATTATACCAATAAATCGTCATCATTCTCGATCATATTTGACATCACCACGACGTCATCATGCAAAAAAAGACATTGATCATATAAATGATGATTATTTTTCATCAACGAAAATATCATCTTCCCAAGTTGCAGTTGATTTTCGAAAAAGAATTCATGATATTTATGTTTTACCTGTTTCACCTGCACTATCATCTTCATCATCAACAACAAATACAGATGAAATAATCAAAATTCGTTCGAAGACAATGCCTAATCGAATTCGAAGACATTTATCATCATCATCATCATCATCATCATCATCAATGCATATTCATCATGATTCTACATATTGTGGAATTCAAAATAATTGTTTTACTGATTCACCAAAACCAAAAGATCGTACATTACGTTATATTCAACCACCATCACAACCTCCACCATTACCACCAATAATTTCACAAATAAATTTCAATAATAATAATGACAAATCATCATTAGAACATCATTCAACCACAACTGATCGAAAGGTCAATTCAATTGTTCTTCATTTTAATACAATTGATAAAAATCAAATGAAAAAACCTTCACCACCACCTGTACCTTATCGATTACGAAAACCTTCACAATTACCAATCGGATTAGAAAAATTAATAAATCAATCAGATCACACTAACTTTCAATTTATAGCAGAATCATCTCCACAAGATGAATGTTCAGAACATGCATGGCCAAAACCACCTGAATCTATGTCAACATCAGAAATCAGTGGACCATCGTCAATATCTTATGATCATTTACTTCCTACGATAAATATTGACCAAAATAGTACAACAAATATTTTTCATCAATATCCACATGATGAAGATTCAATGTTAACAGAATCGGAAACATAATAAAACATTTTGTAATTCTCTACTTGTTTCTCTTCTTTCTCTTAAAGACAGATGGCTGTTGTCAAATAACAGTATTGTACAGTTTTATTTATAAGTTTTATGCACATGTTTAGTTTATTTAAATGAATTGTAATAATAACATAATAATGCATATGAAATAAGTTTTAATAAAGAAACAATTTTCAGCCTTTTCACCTTATGAAACTATTTATAGGAAAAAAGAAAATTTGAATTTTGATTACAATTCATAAAATGAAAGAATCTACGATAGTATCAAATGTTTATTTTATTTTTATGAGCGACTATTGCATGTTTGCTTTAATCATTGATACTATAGGTTGTATGTTTTACAAAGGAGATTTTTTTCTTATGTGCGTATATATTGCGCGTAAAAGATTGAAAATAATTATAAAATGTTTATTGTCATTGTATGCAGTTTCCTATTTTTTAATTTTGTTTATCATGCTAAATTCGAGCTTAAAAATAATTTTGAGAAAATTAGCTTCTTTTTGGAATCATAATATCATACGTAGCCAAAGAATGTTGCCAGTGTATGCATTAAATCATTCAAATTGAGATGAACTTTTTTTTTATAGAATCAAAGCTAGTTTTATAAGAGAAGACGGCTATTGAATATCTACTCGTGTCAATATTTGCATTCTATGGTTTAATAATTTATGGAGCCGGTGTTCAGAAGTCACCTACTAAAATAAGGGTATTGTATTTTCCCACTACACTTTGATCAGATGAGCGTATTTTTTTCTTGATCATAGAAGAAAGTTTCAAGTTTTTATTTATAAATCAGCAGTTTATTGACACATTTGAAATCTAGCACGGTCTACACTCCATAAAATGAAATATGTCAAAGAGTGTTTAGATACCATTGTGTTGTTGGACTTGTGTACTCATAGAAGTATCTTATCTAAACTCAGCTGTAGTTCCCTAGCTTCTTGAGCAATATTTTATGTACAACAGTTGAAGAGGATGCTGAAAAATGTTAAATAGGCTAAGCGAAAACTTGAATCGAAATAAAACAGGAAGAGAAATTGACATTAAAGTATATTCACAAATATTATTGTTGATACTTCTGAAACAAAAGAATTTATAAATAAAAATTAATCTAATGGATGGAACAGAATGAATGATCACATTTTGTCTTTCATTATAAATACAAAACATACTATACAATGAAATGTGAAAAGCTCTAAAATTTACACAGAAAACTTTATTGAAAATATGCATCGATTGTTTTCAAAATAAACAAGTTTTTAACGCTCTAAACATGAGCTTTTTTTGTTCTGAATGTATGAGACGAAGTTAAGAACTATGGTCCACTGATTGATTAAATACAAAAAAACTAACTTGTTCGCAGCGTCAAAAAATTAACTCGAACAGATTTTCGTACTATTTTAACAAGAAATGATGCGTATATTCTTTGATGGGTGATGAAAAAAATTAAATGCAAAGCCTGTTATCTTTGAAAAGATTATTTATGAAAACTCATTATTGAAATTTTCTTTTATTGATGCAAATCGAATATAGCAAAATTTCAGCTCTAATCAATATCTATCCATGGTTTTATCATTGATATTTACTTATATTTGACTGAGCATTATTTTAATGGTTTTTTTTTTGCTTCAATAATTGTGTTCAACAATAATTATAAGAAAGATGTTTGAATGTTAAACATTAAAAGGATGAGTTGAATGAACAATATAAGAAAGCAAAACAAAAGAGCAATAATCATTTTCGTTTTAAATGTGAATCAATCTTTCATCGTTGTCGTTTTTGATCATAACATTGTTTATGTTTGTCTAGCTACTCAGTCATTAATATATTTGATTGAGTGAATGAACAATTTATTCAAGCGTTACTGATCTGATTTTAACAGTAACACTGTATCAAATAGTTGTCATTTGAAGTTTATTTCCATAGTTACAATGCATCTGAAGTCAATGACAAAAGAAATCTATTATTAAAATCGATTCCAAAATGTCGATGATGGCATTGATGTTTGAAGAAAATTTGCTAGACAGAAAAATAAATATTTTATTTGAAATTTTGTTATTATTAGAAATACATACATGATTGACATGTTGTATTCGATGAAAGTGTATTATAATCCGAAGGATAATAAGATGATGACTTTTGTGCAAATGAAAGATCTTCATAACAATTACCTAATTAAATAATAGAATTATATTTTGAATACGATAGCAACATATTATTACAGGATTGCTTTGAGTGGTGAGAGTGGTCTTCAATCTCGAAGAACTTTCATTTTCTTCCCAACAAAACTGAACAATTTAGTTTCTTTTTTTTTGTTAACCCTTTTACGGTGATGTGGCCCACCGGTGGATCACGCTATATGGTACCCCAAAAGCTCATTTACCACAGAAAAAATTGAATATTTCTGCCATACTTTGACCAAAGAAATTGGTTCTTTTATCATTGATAAAGGAATGTTCATAGTTCATATTCATTAGAGAAACATTGGTGACAGTTGTTTTGAATTATTACAGTCGTCACAAATAAAGAAATGAAACCTTTCACAATTTATGAAAAAGCAAAATTTATGTCGCCGTGAAAGGGTTAAGAATCTTTGCAATAAGCATTGAAGCACTCTCTTCAATGTGGTGAAACCTAACTTCTCAGTAGTCAATTCTCTACCCAATTTTAATGACACTTCTGTTATTACCTGTTGATAATGAATACGTTGGATTCGATGATGAACATGAATAATTCAGAGATTGTACAGATAAATTTTGTTGATTATCCATTGGAAAATAACATTGTGGAATATTTGATTCAATATTATAATCTGGTCGTTGTTGAGGAATGCATATAGATAATCTTGTTGGAGAAACTATAGATTGAATATTTGTATTACTTGTTGATGATTCACAAGCAGTATATGTATGTTTTTGATTACGTGTTTTTTCTTCACGACGCCATTTAGCTCTTCGATTAGAAAACCAAACCTTAGTTTAATTGAAAAAGTTTTGATTTAAATTATACATAAACAACTCAGATTTACTTGTATACGGTTTTCTGGTAAATCTATACTTTTTGCTAAACGTTCTCGTACATAAATATCCGGATAATGTGTATGTTCAAATTCTAATTTAAAAGAAAATAGAACAAAGAGCATAATAATAATAAAAAAAAACCTTTTTCAAGCATTCTTATTTGTTCTTGGGTAAAAGCTGTTCGATTACGTTGTAGTTTTTGTTTTAATGAAACTTTTGAATCAAAATCCTTATTTATGCTTTGACCATTATCATTGATACTATTACCATCTTCGTTTATTAATTCATATTTAACTTCTTCGATTAAAGTATTTGTTGCATCTAAAAATTATATTTATATATTTTTCTTTGCTACATAAATTTATTTCTTTACTTGTATTATATATCGGATTATGATAAGTCCATGTATATGTTGGATTTGTTGAAATATTTGTTCCTCCTAATAGTGGCAAAAACGAGGATGATGATGAATTAAGTAAACTATCATATTGAAAATTTGAAGTAGATTTCATTAATGTTGAAGAAGATAAATTACGTAATACTCGATTGATAGAAGAAATCTAATGAATAACAAAAAGAAAATAGATGAAGATACGTATGAAAAATATTTAATTATATCAAAGTACACTCGGTAAATTATCATTTGTACATATAAATTCCTTAAGAAGACGTTCACGAATTTCCCATGCAAATATTGATGAATTTTCAGTTTTTATTTGTGCAATTTTTGCAATGACATCTAATGAAATCATATATTTAAAAAACTATACTCGTTAAAAATAAAAGAAAAATGAAAATTAACTTGGTGTTGCAACACGTGGTTTTGAACCACCGATAGCTCTCGGCTTTACCGAGCCGGTTTGATAAAATCGACCCAAGATTTTAGATACACATCCATTCGATACTATAATATATAAAAACTTGATTAAATAAATCTTCGAATGATTGTAGGTCTTTCTTTTTAACCTTGTAATTTTCGTGAAATTTCACACGGTCTTGCACCTTGTCGAGCCAGTTCAACAATTTGATGTCGAATAGTTTCAGATAATGGTCGTCCGTTTACGAAAACTCCACCTAATTGATTAACACCACTATGACCTTTCAAAAAAAACAATCATACGCAAAAGAAAAACCTGAATTCATGTCAAATTTACCTTCTAAAATAATTTTATACATCAATGAAGACATTATATTTTATTTAATAAATAAAAAAAAAGTGTCCAAAGACAAAAAAAAACGAAATGACTTTCTCTTGTATTATCTCATGTAGATGTGTCGCATATGGTCAAAAAAATCAGACTAGCCTTTTATAGAAAATAATTAAAAATCGAATCAATGGTAATACTCTATTAGGATTAATTCCCTATAGAAAAAATTAATAGGACTTGTCAGAAAGAATAGGCATTATAAGATTTCACAAAATCAGTCTCGTTTAATATTAAGCAAAAAACAATATGAAAAAAAAATTTTGTAACTACTTACGTCAATGAAATAAGAAAAAAGACTTGTTTTATTTTATCTAAAAACAAAAGACAGGAAAATCATAGTGTGAAAGATAAAGTTCAGATTATGATCAACACTATCTCATTTGAAGACATCAGTTTTCTTTTTTTTTTTTTTTCGTTTCATTTTTATTTGACAACATGTATAATGATTTGATTGGTGACAACAAAAGCATGTCTATATATATAATTGATCAATGTCGTCTGTCTTTTTAGCTCACTTTCTGTTTATAAAAATATGTATTGCTTCGACCTAGAAAGAAAAACAAAACGGTACGATATGTGCACAATGAATATTATATTAATTTTAATAATTATGAATCATGTATTTGGAGTGTTTCATAAAACTTTAGACACGATAAAATTAATTTATTTGCAGACAAAAGAAAATCACCTTCTAATCGAATGTTTTTATATGAATCTTGAGTACTTGTGTCAATCTTTCAATTAATATGTTATTGAATAATAT